GGAGAATGGCAATGGTCTTGAAGACAACACAATAAAGGCCCCAGCGTCACTGGGCTTGGGGACAGAGTCAGACCAGTCTAAGAAGGTGGCTTCGCAGCTCGTTGGACCAAAAGTAGAAGACAGGATCCAATACCTGGGGGCTCACCTCCTCTCCTCGCACTAAGGCAGACCACTGTGCACCATGCCTGTGTCTCACATGCCTGTTCCTGAATCTTCTTGGCTCTCCTGGTCCAGATCAAAGCTCACCAAAATCACCATTTTCTTTGTGGATCTGGCACAGACATAACGGTATGTACATTTAATTAATAGGTGAAGTGCATTAACTAGAATTAAGCTCATGTGTCATAGGCTATTTTCGTTCACTCTGAATCCCTAGCACCTTAGTATAGGACGTAATGTCAGCTTCTTAAATTATTAATATAGTTTATCAATACAATTATCAGCATTATGGATTATTGATGGCTCAAAGAGGATCGATCTTTTCCCTAAGGAACCATCTTCTGAGGATAGACGGATAGACAGCTATCTTCCAGTTCATCAGCTGCCTGCTTTCTGGGCTGGCGGTGCACCGCAGGAAAAGACTGAACTGTCCTCGAGTATTTAATACATTTTTATGCCTGACTGTCCATAGATGCAGATCCTAGGTGACTGCCTGGCTGAGCTGAGAGCAAGGACTTTGGAGGAGGGCTGAGAGTCAAGGTGGGAAGGAAAACAGTCCTTGCCAGGCCTGCGCAGTGTGCTGAACAAAGAACACTGTGCATGTATCGTGACACTCAACAATCTGATGACTGCAGAGTCAAGTTGAAGCTGTGTTAGAATTAAGCAAGAGACACTTGGAAGGATGAGAGTGGAGGAGAAATGTAAAGCCTCAGGACGAGTTGTGGGAGCCCCACACACCTAGGGCCAGATGGAGAAAACAGAGCCGTGAGAGAGTAAGTAGAGTCACAGATGCCTCGAAGAAATGTTAATGCAGAAGGTTGTCACGGAGAAGAGACGAGCAGAGACTGGGCTGGCAAATGTCAGCTGATTTGGCTGAAAGGAGGAGGAAGCATGAATTTAACACCAGGACCTTCACAGGTTTGGTTCAATCTCTGCTCAGCCTTTGACCCGGGCCTGGAGACTTTGGGAAGGAACATTCTCCTCTTGAAGGCTTCATCTACGATGATAGGTTGCTAACTACAGGGCTCATAACAGTGCCTTGCCCAGTGCCTGAAAAGGCAAGCACTTGATAAATGCTGCTAGATTATGTTGCGTGGGGTTTGTTATTCACTGGATGATCGTTAAAAGAATAGTATCCAGTTTCAAAGGTGGAGGGAAGGGGAGCAGAGAAGATGGGGAACCAATTGCCAAAAGTTAAGGAAAGCCCAGGCAAGCGGTGGAATGTAGATAACATCGCGAGGAATTTGGTAGTGAAAAGAAATTGAGAAATCAGTGGGTTAGAGCCAGCAGTTTCTTTAAGACACAGAAGAGGGCAAATGAAGTTTACAACGCAACAGGGGAGGGAACTGGTACGAGATGAACAAGCGGAGATACGAGAGACAGTGACAGCTGGAGCAGGTCCTGATCCTCTGCACCCTGGCCTGCTCTGCTCCTTCCCAGCTTCTCCTGGAGGCGGGTGGGCCAGTTTTTTTTCTCAGCCTGCATTTCAGGGTGCTGTACGTAGCAAAGAAGGCTTGCTGGGAAGTCAAGAACCTGAGTTCTCGGTGCTAGACAACTGGCATTTGTCCTTCCTGAGCCCTTGTTTCCTCATTCTCTAAATAAGACTGGCTGGATGGATCCCTTCTGGTGAGTCTGTAACCATCCATGAAGCATTATTGAAATGTTCTCTTCTAAGTTTCTTCACTTCTAATTAGAAGAGAAGCAAGAAAAAAATCTTTGAACTGGGAGCTATCATTCTCATTCAGCAATGGGAACAATATTTCCCTATTCACACATAAACTGAGCAGATCCAGCGATTCCACCTTGCTGCCAGACTGCTGCGACTGCTGGGTTAAATGCTTGTCTTTGTCGTCCTTCTGTAAGAAGCAGTTTTTTTGATGGCACTTTGTTCTGGCTGGTGAGTGAGGGGGGGTTAGGTGGGTGCATGGTCTAGCACGTTGCTGTTGATGAGGCATCCAACTGGCTCACAGGCTTCTGAACTCCTCAGAAATACAACAATTACTATACATCGCCACAATCTGTCCTCAAGTCAGCAAATCTCACAGCTCGTGTTTTTTGATACCCTGGATAAAAGCTCTTCGAGAAAAATCTAGTGCAGAAAACACTCTTGTCTCTGCTTGTCTGCCCACTCTCTGGCATTGGCTGCTCGGCTGTATGTTGCCATCCTGAATGAACTGGTCCAGCCTTGAGGTCCTTCTTCTAAAGGACCAGGAAAAGACATTTTCTTTGAGCCCTCATGTAAGTTGGAAGAGCAGCCAAGAGAAAAGGCACCTTGGCTATGGTCTCTGTGCCAAGACAGGTTTGGTGGAACCTGTGTGTGGGGAAACCATGCAATGTGGATGGGTTGTCTGACAGCTACATATGGCTCTGACCTTGTTGAGTTCAACAACATTTACTGGATACCTACTATCAACAGTCTATGCTGAGAGGCTGTGATAGGATAGCGTGGCCAGGCCTAATAAAGAAGCCCACCCTGGAATACAAGCTTCTGAGAGCAGGTATCATGGCTCATCTCACAGTGCCTGGCACAGGACAGCTCAGTAAGAATAATCTTAGGACGTTTTCGTTGTTTTATACATGCCATCCTTATTTAACTCAGGATCCTTAAAGTCCAAGACAAACAGGAGTAGTTAGGGATAGAGGAGCTCTTATTAAACCATATTGGCGTAAGAATGATTGATCAGACAATTAGGAGGGTGGGGAGGGTGTGGTGCATATATAGCAATGTTATATTCTGCTTACATCATTTTTAATTTCCTTTAAATCACATGAAAAAGAACACAAGTGGCCCAAATCTTTCGTCCTTTTGGTGATAGCCACAAGAGACACACACAAAAGTCTGCATTCAAACCAAATTTCTGTTATTGCTAAAATTTTAACTTCATCCTAAATTCTTGGCAGCTATTATGTAAGGCTTGGGGCTGGTCCTTTCAAAAACAAGTTTATACATGACAAGATTGATGAATGAATTGTCTCCCGTGTCTGGAATTCTTTGTTAATGACAAATGATATAATTTCCTAATAGATTACCTGACCATGATGACACTTTTGCAGAAAGGCCATTTGTGGCATCCTGGCCTCTTGCTCCTCCAACAGGGGTGTTCATACACTTCCGAAGTGGACAAGCCTTCTGCTGGTCACACCAGAGCTAAGCTGACTCATCTAGCTTTTTTCCTACTCCTCCTTTCTCAGGGAGCACATATACATCGGATGCAAGTACTTAGTAGGACGACCAAAGCAAGAACAGAAGTTGAAATTCTCAGGCAATCTGTGTAGGAGTTTGGAAATGCCCTGGGCAGCGGCTTATCTTGTCAAGTGCCCTCCATAGGGAAGGACCACGTGCTGGTTAATAGATGAGCACTACTGGCCCTCACTAATCCCAGCACCGGGAGGTGCTCCGCACAGAGCTGCGCTGCATGGTGTCACAGCAATAGGGATTTCAGCTGCCTCTCTGTACTCATCCCATCCTCCATTTGTGGCGTCTGCACAGGTAGAGTTTCTGCTGGCTTTGGCCTAAAGCAAGAAGTGAAACATCTGTGACAAGCTCAACACAGAAGAGGAGTAGCGCTGTGAATTCCAAAGACTAGAACTATAACATTATTACATTAATGAATGTACATTTGGGTGAAAATCTGCCTCAGGATATTTCGCCTTGTACGTGCTTTGGCTGGGTGGGAGCAGCCCTGGGTGAAGGCAGGTGGAATCAGGCAAGCTCCCCTATCAGGATCTGCATCCAGGGAACCCAGGAGATCTTGGAGGCCAGCTGGGAGATCCCATTTCATTTAAGGTCCCCACGGTGGGTATAGAGGGGATTGGGCTAGGGCCTGGGGTGGCGCCGAAGGTCGGCTGTTTATGTCAGTTTGGGTCACAGATAACTTACAAAACTGAAAGAAGCCGCAGACTCTTGAGGAGGAGGACGAAGGAGGAAATGGAAGGAAGGAAGGAAGGAAGGAGGAAGGAGGAAGGAAGGAAGGAGGAGGAGAGAGGAAGGAGGAAGGAGAAGGAAGGAAGGAAGCGGAGAGGAAGAAGGAAGGAAGGAAGGAAGGAAGGAACAGCGAAGGAGCGAAGAAAGGAAGGAGAGACGAAAGCGAGGCAATCCGACTGCGCATAGATGGGCAAATCGGCCTACAATTTCGGAGGGGCTCAGGACCCCGAAGTTCGTGGAATTCTGGGCCTTAACTAAGGCCCGGGGTCTAGGTACGGCCTGCTGAAGTCCTCTACTCCTAGACTCCCTGCCTGACTCGCCCCTGACCCGGGGCCTTCTAACTGGTTCTGGCTCTCAGAGCCATGGCCCTCCCGTGTGTCAGAGGAGCGCGGGCACCTGCACCGCGTAGCTCCCCTGGGTGCTCACCTATCCCGGGGTGGGGGAAGCGTCCCCGGAAGAATAGCTCCCGCAGGCGGCGCAGGGAGCAGCCATGCCTGAGGCACCGAGGGCGACGCGGGGCAGACCCGGCGGGCAACTGCGGGGGCAGGGCGGGGAGGTGAGGGGAGCTCGGGTCCAGCCGCAGCCTGTCGGACCTAGCACCCCCTCGCCGGAGCCCTGGAAAATCCGTGTCCGGGCTGGGAGCGCGCGGCCCCTGCGACCCCAATGAGTTTTCCTTTGACCTCAGAAGGTTTGAATCCTTCCCGGGCTGGCCTGGTCCCCGACAGCGATCGCTCTGTGGACCCTCGGACCCCCTACAGCCCGGCACCTCGGCCCAGCCAGAGCAGGTGCGGGGCTGGGGGTGGGGAGGGGAGGGTGGGGGGCAGGATTTGGAGCGGGTGTGACTCAGGAGCCCGGGGGGAGGGGCTAAGAATTCAAGAAGCCTGTGTTGGAGCAGCTCGGTGCTCCGGCACGGCAGAGAGCGCTGGGAGCCGGAGGGGAGCGCAGCGGTGAGTCAGGCTACCCTGAGCCGAGCCCCGAGAGGGGCGCAGCGCGGGCGCCGGCGCGGGCGCGGGCGCGGGCCGGGGTGGCGGGGCTCCTCGCCACCATGTGCACAGATCCCGGTCTGGCGAGATCTCCGGGCACCTCCGAGGTTCCCAGGGGCTGAAGTGCAGCCCTGAGAGGAATGTCCCGAGTGGGTGCGGGGGCGCGGGACCCTCGCGGGCGGGCGAGTCAGAGGGAGCAGAGCTCTTTGGTCGTGGAGTTCCCGGTGCCGGGATGGCCCGAAGTCCAGGAGGCAACCCTACCGCCTGCAGAAGCCGCAGGGCCATGCCGGGGACTAGCTCGAGGGCTAGAAGGGGACAGCGCGCAACTGAGGGAGAGTGAATGCGCGTAGAGGGATGCGCGGGCTGCAAGCGCGCCGGGCCGGAGGAGCGGTGGCCCGCGCCGCGGAGGGCGAGTGCACTGCGCGCCGGCTGAGGTTGTCGCCGAATCGGGGGAAAGTACTATGCCGTCCCCAGGTAAGGGGACGAGCAGGGCAGAGTGCTCTAGACCTAATGCAAGGAATAGAGCCAGAGTCTCAGGGCTCCTCGGCGCGTCGCAGGAGGGTTGGGAGTCCGGATTGAGGGCCACCGGGGTGGGCAAGCCAAGTCTATGAGCCAAGTGGCGGGGGTCGGGCCGGTGTAGCAGGGCCCTCCACGGAGCCGCGTTGGACATCCTCAGGTCGAGGTCGCCAAGGCTAAACGCTGTTATTTGTGTCACTCGCCTCAGCTCCAGCTGTCTGAGCCAGGTGTGGAAGAAGTTGGCATGGAAGGTCGAAGCGGGCAGCGCCAGGGTTCAGGCGGTGAGGATCTAGGGGGGGCTGGGGAGAGAGAGGACTCAGGGGTCAGGGAGCTGCAGCTTTGAGCCAGCATAAACAAGCGGCTTAGCTTAGTTTGATTACAATGCTCCTTCTTAAAAAGAAAAAAAAAATCTCTGAGATTCTTATGGAAGGTGTTTTCTGCTTGAACTTTCTCTTCTCTTGTGACTTGAGAGATTAAAAAAGAGCCTGCTTGCTGGGCTGGTTTTTCCAAGTTGTTCCAGGTTGGAAGTTGTAACAGTTTGAAGGATAATTTATGGGTGTTTCATGCATTAAAGTGTATTACATGAAAGTGTCTTTTGGGTGCTGTGGGTATTAAGGAAAACTTAGTGCACGTTCCCAGATGGAAACCAAAATAGTGCTCTCCTGGGTGTCTCTGCCCCATCTGTCATCTGAGGCCAATGGAAATCCTGGAGAAAAGGCACTTGATTAATTGCCCTGGCTCCATCCTCTGGGCGCACCCACCGCCAGCGCCACTCCCCTCCTCCCTAGCAGGCACAGCCAGCCGCTTTCTGCAAATTCAGAAGTGGTCGGGGGGCCCACCAGCAACTTCTCTCCAGGGTCTTCAGACTCCTGAAGCTGTCAGTTAAGTCTGCTGGAGGGGACTATTTCTTCCTCTCAAAACAGTGCAGAAGGGCAGCAACAGTTGGCCCCTGCCGGCCCTTCCTGCCCAGTGTTTACAGTTTCCTGCCGAAAGTCTGAAACTTTCTCCTTCTGCAGACTCGCAGAAGAAAGGCTATATTAAACCTGACGAGTCTCTTTTGTTGAATAATAAGTCATATGTCAACCTGAGCAATCCAAACGTCAATTCATGATGGGCAGTGTTTTCCCAGAGGTTCAGAGGGGACTGGTGGCTGGGGGTTGAGAGTGGTCTGGGGGCTGAGACCGGCCCAGCTGGCATTGACTCATAGAAGTGAATGCCCCTCTTGCTGAGGGGCTAGTAGGCAGCCATCATGTAATTTACATGCATTGGACTCAATCAGTGAAAGAACTGGAATTAGGAGCTCAAATCTTCCTGGTTCTCAAGCCTGGGCTTCTTTTTTTTTTTTTTTTTTGCTTTTCTTGGGGTAAGGTATATGCTAAGAAAGTATGATTGTACATGTTCTACTTACATCCACAGAAAGGTAAACAAAGAATTGAAGGGCACGCGTGTAAACATACAGCTGAACAGCGATAAGAACGGAAGTGCCTGCTGTGCGCAGCCATGGCGTCAGGTGCTGGGATTGACACGGCCCTGCTCCCTTGGCAGCTTGTGAAGGGGTGGGGGGAAAGGAGGACAAGCAAGCAGACAGGACTTTGGAACGGCTGTGGCGTGCAGAGTGCTATGAGGCCCGGGCTGAGGGACGTCGCAGAGACTTGGGCAGTGAGGCG